CCATGGGGAAAACCAAGATTCGCTTAACAACCCGGTGACTCATTGAACGGCAGTGATTTCACTTAACAACGGGGGCCAGAAAGGTGGTAAAATTGGGGGCAAAGCTCATTTAACAACTGTCTCGCTTTAGCATCGGAAATGCAGGGCTCGCTTGTGGTCATAAATCAAGGACTATCTGTAATTGACAGAAGGCTGTGATAAGTCTTATCAGGACCTCCCCATTTGAATCTCAAGGTGTAAATGTTGCTTGGACAGGCCGTCCGCGACTTACGACCATAACTGAGCCCAAAAATTTCTGTTGCTAAAGGAGAAATTTCTCCTCCTGATATTTATTTATTTATTGCTTATTTACTGGTTCGATTTATATGCCACCTTTTTCTGGAGACTCAGGGCGGCTTACAATGCATTAAGCAATAGCCTTCATACATTTGTATATACCTGCTGCTTAGTAGAGCTTTCGGGGGCCCCCCCAAGCGGCGTTCTTTTTTATACAAAGTCAGCTTATTGCCCCCACAATCCGGGTCCTCATTTTACCTACCTCGGAAGGATGGAAGGCTGAGTCAACCTTGAGCCTGGTGAGATTTGAACTTGCAGTAATTGCAGGCAGCTGGTGCTACTTAACAGCACTTTAGTCTGCTGCGCCACCATGGCTCTTTAGTGGACCAAGCTTGGGTGAAATGTTGCAATCTGGAACAAATGGTGAAGGGGGGGAGGGGGGGCCACGGGGCTGACGGGAAGTGGGCTTCCATTGACTCATCCCATTCGTGAGTATTTCTTGCAAAATTGCTTTCTGGGTGAAAGTCCTCCATCCTTTGGCCCAGAGGGGGAGGGTGTGTGATGCAATGGGTTGACTGGGAAGAAGCGTTGGTTTTTTGGGGGGCCAAAGATCGTTTGCATCTTTGGGGTGGGGCCAGAGATACATACAGCCTCTTCTGTCTCACCAGGGTGGGGCAGGTTTATTTAAGTTTTTTCCGCAGGGTTTGGCCAGAAGCAAATAGCCAAGCTCTGAGTATTGGGGTCCTGGGTGAAAAGTCAAAAGGAATCAGAACATTTGGGGTCCTTGGTGCTCTCTGAGCTTTTGGTGGGTTTCTGGGAGATGTTTCATCACCCAACTAGATAACATCATCAGTGGAAGGAGGAGGAGGAGGAGGATTCTGGGGTCCTTGGTGCTCCTTGAGCTTAGTGGTTTTCTTGCAAACATTTCATCACCCAACTAGATAACATCATCAGTTGGGGGGAGGAGGAGGAGGAGAATTCTGGGGTCCTTGGTGCTCTCTGAGCTTTTGGTGGTTTTCTTGCAAAAGAGCCTTGGTGGCGCAGCAGACTAAAGTACTGTTAAGTAGCACCAGCTGCCTGCAATTACTGCGAGTTCAAATCTCACTAGGCTCAAGGTTGCCTCAGCCTTCCATCCTTCCGAGGTAGGTAAAATGAGGACCCGGATTGTGGGGGCAATAAGCTGACTTTGTATAAAAAAGAACACCGCTTGGGGGGGGGGGCGAAAGCCCTACTAAGCAGGTATATACAAAAGGATGAAGGCTATTGCTTAACGCATTGTAAGCCGCCCTGAGTCTCCGAGAAGGGCGGCATATAAATTGAACCAATAAAATAATAAATAAATAAACATCACTGGGGGGGGGAGGAGGAGGAGGAGGATTCTGGGGTCCTTGGGGGGGTCCTTGAGCTTGGTGGTTTTCATGCAGATGTTTCGTGACCCAGCTAGGTAACATCTTCAGTGACAGAAGGGGATGGGGTTTGTGAGAAGGAGGAGGAAGAAGAAAAAGATTGTGACATCCTTGGTGCTCCCTGAGCTTGAGGATTTTCTTGCCGATGTTTCATCACCCAACTGGGTAACATCATCAGAGCTAGAAGGCAGTGGGGTTTGCTCTTATTTATGTATAGTAGCTGGCCCTACCAGTGTTGGTGGAATGTGTTTTTTTCCCCCCCTTGGTGGATTCTTGGTTTACGCTATTGCTTTCTTCCTGATTGTTTGTCTAGGGTTAATCCCTGCTTCTCTGGGTTGTTGGATTTAATTATGCTTCTTTTTGGACTCTGCTGGGAATGCCAAGTTTCACAGGTTGCTGGTCAGGCTATTGTTTGTGTGGGTCCTTGGTGCTCTCTGAGTTTGGTGGTTTCCTTGCAGACGTTTCATTACCGAACTGGGGAACATCATCAGTGTTAGGAGGAGTGCCGTTTCCTCTCAGAATAGCCCCATACGTGCAAACGACACTACACTTCCATTTTTATCTCTGGGCATTTCTATCCCTTTGCTTTCCAATCCTGTTTTTATCTTCAGTTTCATCCTTTGTGGGTATGTGTGTGTATGTGTGTGTGTATTTCTAATAAATTCAAGAGAATAAATCTCTTGTGTTCAGCCTAGCCAGGTCCGTTGCTTAGATAAGCAGAAAGGACCCCACTCTTGGCCGAAGAGCGGTTATTAAGTGAATCACTTGCAGTTGTTAACTTAGTAACACGGTTGTTAAGCGAATCTGACTTCCCCATTGATTTTGCTTGTCGGAAGGTTGCAAAAGGGAATCATATGACCCTGGGACATTGCAACCGTCATAAATTCAGTTGCCATTTTGATCACGTGACCATGGGGATGCTGCAACGGTCGTAAGTGTGAAAAACTGGTCCTAAGTCGCTTTTTCCCAGTGCCGTCGTAACTTCGAACGGTTACTATAGGAACCGTTGAAAGTCGAGGACTACCTGTCTTTCCCAACCCCCTTCCCAGGGGTGAAATGTAAAATTTGTTACTACCGGTTCTGTGGGCGTGGCTTGGTAGTGTTGGGGGGTAATGTGACTGGGTGGGCGTGGCCAACTTTTTTTTTTTTTTTTTTAACTTTTCAAAGCATTTTTTCTAATGCTTTAAAAAGCCTCTCTGGCGATCAGGCAACTCAGCTGGGATCGTCAGAGACTTTTCAAAGCGTTTTTTTTTAAACCACCTCTTCGGCCAAGAGGTTGCAGAAAAAAATGCTTGGAAAAGCCTCTGATGATCCCAGCTGAGCCGCACGATCATCAGAGGCTTTTTTTTTTACTTTTAAAAGCATTTTTTCATCGGAAGAAGTTGTAGAAAAAATGCTTTTAAAAGTGAAAAAAAAAGCCTCTGATGATCATACGGCTCAGCTGGGCATGGGGTGGGGGCGCAGGGATTTTTGCTACTGGTTCTCCGAACCACCCACCGCCATTGCTACCGGATCAGGCGATCCGGTCCGAACCGGGAGCATTTCACCCCTGCCCCTTCCTGCTGTCTCCCCAACATAAAGACAATACGATGCTGTTCCCTTAATCTTTGATATTTTTATTTCTTTTAAAAAAAGGTTTTTTTACAAACATATCATATCAATGCGTGAACAGTGGGGCACCTGGGTATCCAACATTCTAATACAAATAAAACTAGTAAAATTAATCATCATTATTAGATTCAATCCACATATATTTCTAATAATGATACCCAATGATAATAAGTTGCAATCTGCCATTTATTCAATCATTCCATGTTTCTCTTATTGTTACTTTTGTTTCATTATATAAAAGAATACACACTATACGTTCCCCCTTCTCTTATTTCTATCACTTATTCTAACTTTTAATCGTATCACCTTTTACTAAAAAAAAAAAACATTTTCTTTTTCTTTTTTTTATTTGATTTATATGCCGCCCTTCAGTGGTGGGTTCCTCCCGGTTCGGTCCAGTTTGGCAGACGTCACCGAACTGGTTCTCCCCCCCCCTGCCCTCCCCCCCCACGTTATTCTTACCTTTTCTTTGGTCCCACCCCCAATCTATTGCTGCCTCCTGAGTCCCAGCTGATGGCTAGAGGGAAAAAAAAACTGTTTAAACTCTTGCTGGGGGGCTTCAAAGGGCCGCCCTACAGCTGATCAGTGTTAAAAACAAACAAATGAGTCGGGTCGTAGGTGCGAGGACTGGTCGTAAGTACGAGGACCTTCCAGAAATGACTCTTTAGCCCTCTGAGTAGTCCCTATACACATAGCCATGCCCACCTAGTCACATGACCTCCAAGCCACACCCACAAAATAAGCCACGCCCACAGAACCGGTAGTAAAAAAAATTAGAACCCACCCCTGCCGCCCTTCTCCGGAGACTCAGGGCGGCTTACAATGCGTTAAGCAATAGCCTTCATTCTTTTTGTATATTTATACAAAGTCAGCTTATTCCCCCCACAAACTGGGTCCTCAATTTACCTACCTTAGATAGGATGGAAGGCTGAGTCAACCTTGAGCCTGGCGAGATTCGAACCTGCAGTAATTGCAGACAGCTGGTGTTAAATTACAGTGCTATCAGTCTGCTGAGCCACCAGGCCCATTTTCTTTCTATCCTACTACCTAACTTGTAATCATGTCACCTACTTTTAAAAAAAAAAAGAAAATAAAGAGGAAAAAAAGGGATAGCAAATCAAAACAACAGAGAAGAAAAATCATCTATCCATCGTCCCTTGCCCGCTTCAATACTTTAATTGCTATGCTTTTTTTTTTTTTTTTTTTAACTTGCCTCCCATATTCCTCTCCTGGATCGCTTATCTCTTGTCAGAATCTGCTTCTTGTCTGTTCAGTCTGGGTATTTCTCCCACCTCTACCCTCTTCCACTGCCAGTTCCCAACGTTTTGGGAACTAGGGAGTGATACTTTTAAATTTCTCAGTTTTAAGACGGTGGTCTCATATCTAAGGAAAAAACGAAGATAGACCCTGCCTAGCAGCGGGGAATCATCTCAAATCAGTCGGGCGGTGCTGTGAATTTCTGAATCTTTGGGTCTAACGTGGGGAGAGGGGGGGGTACAAAGTCCAGGGTGAATAAGGAGTGTCCGCTGCCTCCCACCTCCGTCACCTTGGGACTTCCGAATGGGTTGTGTAGATCATTTGATCCTTGTTCTCGACGCAACCTTCGGGCGAGGATCACATGCTTGTCTTTTATCTCTCTGGAATTTACTCGGAGGCTCATCTAGATAAAACCACACCGTAATCCGAACTTTCTTCCTTTCTTTCTAGCTGCACCTCAACTGGTCATGGCTTCCAACGAGAGTCCCGAATCTGTCGCCCAATCCGTCGCCCAATCCACCACCGGCCCGGCGGCGGAAAAAGTCGAAGAGAAAGTAACTGAGGTTTGGAAATAATTTGGAAATTGTAGATACAAGAGAAGAGAGAAATTATGGGGTATTTTAAATTCAGCCAAATTATTTCATTCGTTTTTAATCTATTTTAAATGTTTGTCTTTATGTGTTTTATCTTGTGGCTGTTCACCGCCCTGAGTCCTTCGGGAGAAGGGCGGTATAGAAATTTAATAAAATAAAATAAAAATAAAAATAAAAATAGAATGACGGAGTTGGAGGGCACCTTGGAGGCCTTCTAGTCCAACCCCATTGCTCAGGCAGGAAACCCTATACCCGTGATGGCAAACCTATGGCACGCATGCCAGAGGTGGCACGCAGCGCCCTCTCTGTGGGTACGTGAGCCGTTGCCCCAATTCAGCTCTGCCGTGCATGCACGCGCGCCTCCCACTGACCAGCTGGTCTTCGGGTCTCTGTCGTGCGTGCGCGGTGGATGGGGCGCATGTAGGGGTCACATGCGCATACCCGGGGGTGCATGCAGGGTGCATGTGTGCATGTGCGGGGCTAGGACGCATGTGCAGCGGCCGTGAACACATTGCATTTTGGGGGGTTCAGGCGTGCACTTTCAGCACTCCCGTCCAGAAAAGGTTAGCCATCACTGCCCTATACCATTTTAGACAAATGGTTGTTCAATCTCTTCTTTAAAACTTCCAGGGATGAAGCACCCACAACTTCTGGTGGCAAGTTGTTCCACTGGTTAATTGTTCTCACTGTCAGGAAATTTCTCCTTAGTTCTAAGTTGCTTCTCTCCTTCATAAGTTTCCACCCGTTGCTTCTTTTCCTGCCTTCAGGTGCTTTGGAGAATAGCTTGACTCCCTCTTCTTTGGGGCAGCCCCTGAGATACTGGAAGACTGCTATCATGTCTCCCCTGGTCCTTATTTTCATCAGACTAGACATACCCAATTCCTACAACCGGTCTTCATATGTTTTAGCCTCCAATCCCCTAATCTTCTTTGTTGCTCTTCTCTGCACTCTTTCTAGATCTTCTCTGGGACCTCTTTCGTTTAAGAGGGGGGGTGGTCCAGTGGTGAAATCCAAATTTTTTTACTACCGGTTCTGTGGGCGTGGCTTGGTGGGTGTGGTGTGGCTTGGTAGGCATGGCAGGGGAAGGATACTGCAAAATCCCCATTCCCTACCCACTCCTGGGGGAAGGAGATTGCAAAATCTCCATTCCCACCCCACTCTGGGGCCAGCCAGAGGTGGTATTTGCCGGTTCTCCGAACTGCTCAAAATTTCCGCTACCGGTTCGTCAGAACCTGTCAGAACCTGCTGGATTTCACCCCTGGGGTGGTCTTGGGCTTCTAGATTCAAGGGAGGGGTGTTTGGTAAGACACCGCCTCTTAAAGATGACTCAAAATCTGTCTGATCCCAAAACAGATCTGAATGAAGTTGATATACGGAACGGTTTTCCATCGGAAAGTCATATTTCTCGATGTTCTTTGGTTCGGCAGGGTGTATCTCTCAACTAGGGGTAGTCCTCGACTTACGACCACAATTGAGCCCAAAATTTGTTGCCAAGGGAGACCTTTGTTAAGTGAGGTTTTAAGTGCCCCATTTTATGACCTTTCTTGCCACAACTGTTAAGTGAATCAATACAGTTAAGTTAGTAACGTAGTTGTTAAATGAATCACTGCAGAAGTTAAGTTAATAACCTGGTTGTTAAGTGAATCCGGCTTCTCCGTTGCTTGTCAGAAGGTCGCAAAAGGGGATCACATGACCCCGGGACACTGCGACCGTCGTAAATACGAGTCAGTTGCTGAACGTCTGAATTTTGATCCCGTGACCATGGGGATGCTGTAATGGTCATACGTGTGAAAATTGGGCATAAAGTCAATTTTTTCAATGCCGTAAGTTCGAACGGTCACTAAACGAAACAGTTGTAAGTTGAGGACTACCTGTACAGTCTGAAATGGGCTAAAAATTTGTGCTTGTTATTATGACACTGGTGTGAAATTATGGCCCTAGAAGCAGCGATGTTTGCACCGGGTTCTCGGGTCCTCCTTTTCAGCCAGGCTTTGGGTCATCGTGATTAAAATGCTGACTAGCTTCCTCGATTGGGGGAAAAAAGAGGAAGGAAGGAAAGGAAGGAAGGAAGAGCATAGCAATGCTGCAGTCTTACCACTGTGCCACAAGGAAGGAAGGAAGGAAAGGAAGGAGGGAGGGAGGAAGGAAGGAAGGAGGGAAGGAGGGAGGGAGGGAGAAAGGAAGGAAGGGAGGAAGGGAGGAGGGAAGGAGGGAGGGAGGAAGGAAGGAGGGAAGGAGGAAGGAGGAAGGAAAGAGGGAAGGAGGGAGGGAGGAAGGAAGAGAGGAAGGAAGGGAGGAAGGAAGGGAGGAAGGAAGGAGGGAAGGAGGAAGGGAGGAAGGAAGGAAGGAAGGAAAGAAAGGAAGGAAGGAGGGAGGGAGGAAGGAAGGAAGAAAAGGAAGGAAGGAGGGAGGGAGGAAGGAAGGAAGAAAAGGAAGGAAGGAAGGAAGGAAGGAAGGAAGGAAGGAAAGAGGGAGGGAGGAAGGAAGGAAAGAAAGGAAGGAAGGAGGGAGGGAGGAAGGAAGGAGGGAAGGAAGGAAGGAAGGAGGAAGGAAGAAAGGAAGGAAAGAGGGAGAGAGGGAGGGAGGAAGGAAGGAAGGAAGGAAGAATATATACCGCTTCATAGTGCTTTTACAGTGCTTTCTAAGCGGTTTACAGAGTCAGCCTCTTGCCCCCAACAATCTGGGTCCTCATTTTACCCACCTCTGAAGGATGGAAGGCTGAGTCGACTTTGAGTCAGTCAGGATTGAACTCCAGGCAGCGGGCAGAGTTAGCCTGCAATACTGCCTTCTAACAAGAGGGTGGGAGGGAGGGAGGGAGGGAGGAAGGAAGGAAGGAAGGAAGGAGGGAAGGAGGAAGGGAGGAAGGAGGGAAGGAGGAAGGAAGGGAGGAAGGAAGGAAGGAGGGAGGAAGGAAGGAAAGAAAGGAAGGAAGGAGGGAGGGAGGGAGGAAGGAAGGAAGAAAGGAAGGAAGGAAGGAAGGAAAGGGAGGGAGGAAGGAGGGAGGGAGGGAGGAAAGGAGGGAGGGAGGAGGGAAGGAAGGAAGGAAGGAGGAAGGAAGAAAGGAAGGAAAGAGGGAGAGAGGGAGGGAGGAAGGAAGGAAGGAAGGAAGAATATATACCGCTTCATAGTGCTTTTACAGTGCTTTCTAAGCGGTTTACAGAGTCAGCCTCTTGCCCCCAACAATCTGGGTCCTCATTTTACCAACCTCGGAAGGACGGAAGGCTGAGTCCACCTTGAGCCTGGTGAGATTCGAACTGCCAAATTGCAGGCAGCCGGCAGTCAGCAGAAGTAGCCTGCAGTACTGCACTCTTAACTGCTGCGCCACCGTGGCTCGTGGTTGAGATTCGTTGCCAAACAGGTTTGAAGCTGGGTCAAGTTTGCGTAGAGTTTATCCCGGAGCTGAGATGACAACCCTGGATCTATTTTGAGAGCGAGCGATGGCTGTCACAATCTCCCTTTTGCCAAGAGGGTTGCACAACCCTCGGAAAATGAATTTGGAACTGGAACAAGAGTCCTTTCCTTGGTGCTCTTGTCAAGGACGAGATGCCAATGTTTCGTTTCTGAGCTCAGTAGGCAAGATGCCAGGGGGAGGGCATCAGGATCCAATCCACTGGATGCCAGCTCTAATCTCTTCTTGCGGTGACTCTCCTGTAGGTGACCGCAGAAAAACCATGCACACAATTACTTTTCCTGCTTGCGTCTCGTAAATATTAGGTTGTGGCGCCCCTAGCTGCTCAATTTGTTCCACATTTTTTAATCTAGTGATGCCATTTATAGGCCCCTCGATACAAAACAAAAAGGCATTTGATTGACTTGTGATGATACAGAAATAAATGGGAAATTTATTTAAAGAGAATACGGTTAGTCCTCGACTTATGACCACAATTGAGCCCAAAATTTATGTTGCTAAGTGAGTTTTGCCTCATCTTACGACCTTTCTTGCCACGGTGGTTAAGTGAATCACTGCAGTTGATAAGTTAGTAACCTTGTTGTCACGGGTGGATTCTAAATTTTTTTACTACCGGTTCTGTGGGCGTGGCTTATTTTGTGGGCGTGGCTTGGGGTAATGTGACTGGGTGGGCATGGCCAACTTCTTTTTTTTTTTTTACTTTTAAAAGCATTTTTTCTGCAGAAAAAAATGCTTTTAGAAGCCTCTGACGATCAGGCAAGTCAGCTGGGATTGCCAGAGGCTTTTAAAAGCATTTTTTTTTCCTACAGCGTCTTCGGCTGAAGAGGTTGCAGAAAAAATGCTTTCAGAAGCCTCTGACGATCCTAGCTGAGCCGCGCGATCATCAGAGGCTTTTTTTTTTACTTTTAAAAGCATTTTTTCGGCTGAAGAGGTTTTAGAAAAAATGCTTTTAAAAGTAAAAAAAAAAAAAGAAGCCTCTGATGAGGTGGGCGGGGTAAGCGAGCGGCGACCGGGCCGGGGACCAATTCGGGGGCATGGCCAGCCAATGTTATTACCGGTTCTTCGAACTATTAAAAATTGTTACTACTGGTTCTTGCGAACCGGTGCGAACCGAGAGCAACCCACCACTGCTTGTCGTTAAGTGAATCTGTCTTCCCCATTGACTTTGCTGGTCAGATGGTCGCAAAAGGGACTCATGACCCTGGGACACAGCAAAGGTCATTAATAGGAGTCCATCGCTAAGCGTCTGAATTTTGATCACATGACCATGGGAACGTTGCGGTGGTCGTAAGTGTGAAAAATGGTCATAAGTCACCTTTTTCAGTGCCGTTGTAACTTTGAACAGTCACTAAATGAACTGTTGTAAATCAAGGACTACCTGTCCTGATAGTCCTCAACTTTTGACTTAATGACAATTTGAAGTTAGGATGGGCTTCCCTTCCCCGACTGGGGAATTCTGGGAGTTGAAGTCCGCCCGCCCCACAAAATTAGTCCATCAAAAGGCTACAGACTGTGTATTCCTGCTGCAACAATCAACTTTCATTAGCAATAGCGCTTAGACTTATATACCGCTTCACAGTACTTTACAACCCTCTCTAAGCGATTTCCAGAGTCAGCCTATTGCCCCCCCCAATAATCTAGGTCCTCATTTTACCGACCTCGGAAGGACGGAAGGCTGAGTCAACCTTGAGTTGGTTAGATTCGAACTCCTGGCAGTGGGCAAAGTCAGCTTGCAATCAGGGGTGAAATCCAGCAGGTTCCGACAGGTTCTGGCGAACCTGTAGCGGAAAGTTTGAGCAGTTCGGAGAACCGGCAAATACCACCTCTGGCTGGCCTCAGAGTGGGGTGGGAATGGGGATTTTGCAGTATCCTTCCCCTGGAGTGGGGTGGGAATGGAGATTTTGCAGTATCCTTCCCCTGCCATGCCCACCAAGCCACGCCCACAGAACCGGTAGTAAAAAAAAAATGGGATTTTACCACTGCTTGCAATCCTGCATTCTAGCCACTGCGCCACCACAGCTCGTAAAAAAAAAAAAATGGAGAAGCAGGGGGAAGGTGCGACTAAGTTGCTAGTTCTCATGGTTGCCGCTGTTTTCTCTTTCTTCCATTTGCCAGAATGTAGCTGATAGGGTAGCCAGCCTGCCGCTGGTCAGCTCCGCCTACGACATGGTCTCGGCGGCGTACGCCTCTACAAAAGAGAGCCATCCCTACATGAAGTCTGTCTGTGACATGGCGGAGAAAGGAGTGAAGACTATTGCTTCGGCGGCGGTGAGCGGCGCCCAACCCATCCTCAACAAACTGGAGCCACAGAGTGAGTACAATAAATGAAACTGCGGTCTCTTTTTTGCTTTCTTGTCTTTCCAAAAGACAACTGGACTTCCTTTGTTTTTCCTTGAAGACGTTTTGCTCCTCATCCAAGAAGCTTCTTCGCTTCTGACGGAATGGTGAAGGATGGAAGGATTTATACTGCTTGCAGTCCTCTGGTCGTTTGCACTCTTTCTGAGAGTCGTTGAGGCCATTTGGAGGTTTATCTGTGCCCTCAGGGTCACTTGAGTAGTGCAAATGGGTGTGTGGAACCTTCTTGGAACTGCTGAAAGGATTGTGTTATAAACAGGAGATAGGTGGTGTCGTATCCCTCCTCCTCTGTTGAGAGAGGGCTGTTCAATCTTAATGTAGATGGCCTCTTTGACCCCTCTTTCAAACCAAGAGTCCTCTCTGTCCAAAATGTGGACTTTGCTGTCTTCAAAAGAGCGCCCTTTGTCTTTCAATCTTGAATCTTGTCCTGGTGGGCTTGTTCTGCTATGTTGTGCCATGTGCTTGTGAAGTGGTTGTTTTGTTTCTCCAATGTACATGTCTCACTGCATTATACTGCATATATCACATTGCTCAGTTTGTGTCTGCCTGTTTTATCCTTGCGGTGGACAAGCTTCTGCCTTAATGCTGATTTGAAAGTGGGATCAAAGAGACCATCTATGTCCGTGATGGCGAACCTATGGCACGTGTGCCACAGGTGGCACACATAGGCATATCAATGGGCACGCGAACTCAGCTCCAGCGTGCATGCTCGCGCCGACCAGCTGATTTTCGGGCCTTCTTGGCCCACCAGAAGTAGGGAAACAGGCTGTTTCCTGCCTCCGGAGGGCCTCGGGGGTGGTGGTGGAGAAGGCCCTTTTTTTGCTCTTCTCAGGCTCCAGAGCCTTTCTAGGAGTCTGGGGAGGGCAAAAACGGCCTTTCCCACCCCCCCGGAGGCCCTCCAGAGGCTGGAAACGGCCCATTTGCCAACTTTCGATGGGACCGGAAGGCCCTTTTTTTGCTCTTCTCAGGCTCCAGAGCCTTTCTAGGAACCTGGGGATGGCGAAAACGGCCTTCCCCACCCCCCAGAGGCCGAAAACGGCTCATTTGCCAACTTCCAGAAGTCCCACCGTTATGGCTTGCGTGCCCACCGATATGGCTCCACGTGTCACCTGTGGAACGAAACTGCGGTCTCTTTTTTGCTTTCTTGTCTTTCCAAAAGACAACTGGACTTCCTTTGTTTTTCCTTGAAGACGTTTTGCTCCTCATCCAAGAAGCTTCTTCGCTTCTGACGGAATGGTGAAGGATGGAAGGATTTATACTGCTTGCAGTCCTCTGGTCGTTTGCACTCTTTCTGAGAGTCGTTGAGGCCATTTGGAGGTTTATCTGTGCCCTCAGGGTCACTTGAGTAGTGCAAATGGGTGTGTGGAACCTTCTTGGAACTGCTGAAAGGATTGTGTTATAAACAGGAGATAGGTGGTGTCGTATCCCTCTCCTCTGTTGAGAGAGGGCTGTTCAATCTTAATGTAGATGGCCTCTTTGACCCCTCTTTCAAACCAAGAGTCCTCTCTGTCCAAAATGTGGACTTTGCTGTCTTCAAAAGAGCGCCCTTTGTCTTTCAATCTTGAATCTTGTCCTGGTGGGCTTGTTCTGCTATGTTGTGCCATGTGCTTGTGAAGTGGTTGTTTTGTTTCTCCAATGTACATGTCTCACTGCATTATACTGCATATATCACATTGCTCAGTTTGTGTCTGCCTGTTTTATCCTTGCGGTGGACAAGCTTCTGCCTTAATGCTGATTTGAAAGTGGGATCAAAGAGACCATCTATGTCCGTGATGGCGAACCTATGGCACATGTGCCACAGGTGGCACACATAGGCATATCAATGGGCACGCGAGCTCAGCTCCAGCGTGCATGCTCGCACCAACCAGCTGATTTTCGGGCCTTCTTGGCCCACCAGAAGTAGGGAAACAGGCTGTTTCCTGCCTCCGGAGGGCATTGGGGGTGGTGGTGGAGAAGGCCCGTTTTTTCTGCTCCAGGCTCCAGAGCCTTTCTAGGAGTCTGGGGAGGGCAAAAACGGCCTTCCCCACCCCCCCGGAGGTCCTCCAGTGGCTGGAAATGGCTCATTTGCCTTTTTGCTCTTCTCAGGCTCCAGAGCCTTTCTAGGAACCTGGGGATGGCGAAAACGGCCTTCCCCACCTCCCCGAGGCGTCTGGAGGCCGAAAACGGCCCATTTGCCAACTTCCGGTGACACGTGTATGCGTGACACCCCCCCCAACGTGCTCCCCCCCACTCCTGGTACACAATGGCAAAAAGGTTAGCCTTCACTGATCTATGTTAAGACTGAACAGCCCTGTCTCAACAGAGGAGGAGGGATATGACACCACCTATCTCCTGTCTGCAACAGAGTTCTTCCGGCAGTTTCCAGAAGGTTCCACACCCCTTTGCATTATTCAAATGACCCTGAGGGCACAGATAAACTTCCAAGTGGCCTCAATGACTCTCAGAGAGAATGCTAATAACCAGATGACTGCAAGGAATAGAAACCCTTTCCATTTCCCACCATTCAGTCAGAACTGAAGAAGCTTCTTGGATGAGAAGCAAAACGTCTTCAAGCAAAACCAAAGTCCAGTTGCCTTTTGGAAAAAAACACCTTTGGGACAACCATGACCTGGATGACTGAGAAAGAATTGGCTTTCTTATTTTTTTTTAAATTTCATTTATCAAATATATTTGATGCCCATCTCGCCATTCAAGGTGACCCTGAGTAGCTTTACCACAAGGTAAAATGCACAAACATTCAAACAATTATAAAGACGGACTCAAATTACAAAAATTAAAGCTAATTCAGAAAACCAAGAGTTTGGAGGGGAGAGGCAGGGGCTACGTTCTCTATTACAGGCACTCCCCAACTCACAATCTGTCAAGTTTCCGAAAGATGCCCTAATTAATTCATGAGCCATGAGCCAAACTTCAAAGGAAATATAGTCATTTACTAGGAGCAACATTCCGGCAATACTGGGATGCAGTTAGGACTGATCCCACGTAGATTTACATTCCCCTACGACCCTGTCTCTCCCCTCCTCTCTGGCCATGTCATAAATCACATTCTCCAATTAACCACTTTGGCTGGCTGTGAAACCTAACACCCTCCTCCTGATTGCGGTCAGAAAGAATGTATGGAATTCACTTCAGTTCTCCCTCCCTCCTGCTCATGGCAACTTGAAAGCTTTGCAAGTTGACACAATCATTCATTTAGTGACCATCTAAAGTTTTTATGATTATTTATTTACATTTAGTGGCACAATGGGCGAAGTTACAATTGGCACAAGTTCTGACGGGACTGGAAAAAGTGACTTGTGACCGATTTTTCACACTTACGACCGTTGTAGCATCCCCAAGATCACATGATCAAAATTTGGGTGTTTGACAACTCGCTCATATTTATGAGACAGTTTCTTGGGATCAAGGGATGGTAACCTTCCCAGCTGGCTTCGGACAAGCAAAGTCAGTGGGGGAAGGCAGATCCATTTAACAACAACCGCAAAATGGTTGTTAAGTGAGTTTTGCCCCACTTTGTGACTTTTTTGCCACACTTCTGCAAATCGCTGCAGTCGTTAAGAGAACCATGTGGTTGTTAACCGAATCTGCCTTCTCCCCCTTGACGCCGTAGCTCGGTGAGCAATCATATGCATAACCACGTAAAAGGGACTTGATTGCATGGGGAATGGCCACCATGTTGACTTTTTTGACCTCCGGAGACAGGCTAACCCTTTCTTCGTCTCCAGTTTCCACAGCGAATGAATACGCCTTGAAAGGCTTGGACAAGCTGGAAGAGAAGCTGCCAATTCTCCAACAGCCCACAGATAAGGTAATCGAAACTTCCTTCCAGCTTACTCAAATTACGATTCGAAGATCAAAAATTTTATCCAGTCAACAGATTAATTCATGCTTCAAATGACAATTTCTGCCTGCTACATCAGTGCAGTAGCTGAATTTGGAAAAAAACTACGTTTTACAGAGAAGAAGTAGGTTTAGATTGACAAGGGAATTTTTTTTAAATGAAGCTCCGTCGGTTGAATGTCTACCTAGATTCAGCTTATGCCAGCCGAGGACTGGCTTGAAAGAGAGAGAAAAAAGACCAACAGTGATTGGTGGATTCTGACTTGTCAGCCATCATAGCTAAGGAGGTTAAGCCAAGGTTTGACAGGTGTAGATGGTGTCATATTGTAAATTCTGGGCCCAAAACTAGCATATAAATAATTTAAACAAGTATATTTTAACCTCAGTCCCTTTAAGATGGATGGACTTCAACTCCCAGAATTCCCCAGCCAGCCATGCTGGCTGGGGAATTCTGGGAGTTGAAGTCCACCCATCTTAAAGGGGCCATGATTGAAAAACATTGACATAGATAAATAAATATTTATCTCAATGCATAAAATTACATTCCACTTTCTTGGGAGTTTGAAAATAGAAATTGGTTTACAGAGACTTTTGAGGCATTTTCTAAGATCACTTGATTACTATTGAATGAGCACTACAAAAAAATGGTAAAATCGGCTGCGGTCACATGACCCACTTAAAGATTGCCTCAATTTACAACCGTGATTCCATTCCCAATGACGGTCGTAAGTGGAAGATGATCTACACAGCCAGCTATTCTCATAAGCACCTGAGGGCAGGACAAGGAGCAATGGATGGGAAACTAATCAAGGAGAGAAGCAGCCTGGAACTAAGGAGAAACTTTCTGAGAGTGAGGACAATTAGCCAGTGGAACAGCTTGCCACCGGAAGCTCCAAAACGAGATTTTTAAGAAGAGATTGGACAGTCACTTGTCTGAAATGGGATAGAGTTTCTTGCTTGAGCAAAGGGGACTGGACTAGAAGATCTCCAAGGTCCCTTCCAACTCCGTTTATTCTGTTCTTCTTTCAGATCATTTCGGACACAAAAGACCTGGTGACCGGAGCTAAGGAGGCGGTGAGTTCCACCGTCAGCGGCATGGTGGACAAAACCAAGGAAGTAGTCCAGGGCGGCGTGGAGATGACCCGCTCGGCTGTCCAAAGTGGTGTGGAGATGACCCGCTCGGCGGTTTCCAGCAGTGTCAACACCGTGATGGAGTCCTCAGTGGGACAGATGGTGTCCAGCAATTTGGAAGCTGCCCTTGGAAAATCTGAAGAGATCGTGGACCATTATCTTCCCATGACCGATGAAGAACTGGGTGAGTCGGTTGTCCGAAAGAAGCTGAAAGTTTTCAGCCACCGTAAGATGGGTGGGCTTCAACTCTCAGAATACTCCAGCCAGCCATACGTGGGGTCCTTGGTGTTGTCTCTGAGTTTGGTTGCCTTTGTCACTGCGTTGTGTTTGCCAGCTGAGCGTCCATTCTAAGACTTAAGGTAGCCTGCCGGAGAACTTGATCACGTCTCTGTAGTAACAGAGATAAGACTGTCTTGTGATTTCTGAGCTACTGCGCAAGTCCAAGTTTAAGGAAGTAACTTCCTGATTTATACATTTATTTATTTATTTAATTTATTATTTATTATTTATTATTTATTTAAATTTGTATACCGCCCTTCTCCCGAAGGACTCAGGGCGGTGAACAGCCAAAATTAAAATACATACAATATAAAATTTAAAATAATTTAAAAACAGAATTAAATCAAATTGGCTTCCCAAAAATTAAAACCCACTACCCTTAAAATAACCCATTAAAATTTTAAGGCAGCCCAGCTTGCTGAAATAGGAAGGTCTTCAAAGCTCGAGGGAAGGTCCGGAGGTCCGGGATCAGTCGTATTCCTGGGGGTAGCTCGTTCCAGAGGGCGGGTGCCCCCACAGAGAAGGCCCTCCCCCTGGGGGTCGTCAGTCGACATTGCTTGACCGATGGCACCCTGAGGAGGCCCTCTCTGTGGGACCGAGTTGGCCGGTGGCAGGTTATCGGTGGCAGAAGGTGGTCTCGTAAATAACCGGGCCCTAAGCCATGGAGCGCTTTAAAGGTGAGAACCAATACCTTGAAGCGCACCTGGAAGACCACCAGAAGCCAGTGCAGCTCGCACAGGCAAGATGTCACATGGGAGCGTCTCTGAGATGGGCTGCCGGTAAAGATGTAGTTAGCTAGTTTTTTCTATCTTTATAATAAAATCCTTATTAGAATATATACAGTACTTCAGGTTTTCTTTCTTTGAAAGTATACAGCATGGAAAACAAGATCCATTCACCTCTAATTAATTACAGTTTCCCCAGAGGGGGGAACGAGGCTGATTCACGCTTCGACAGTCGTCTTGGAGACGTTTCATGACCCAACTAGGTAACATCATCAGAGCTAGAAGGGAGTGGGGATTTCCCTCTGTTTACACAAAGTGGCTTGCCCTGTCAGTATTGGTGGGGGTGGCCTTGGTGGTTCCTTGAATAGGCTGTGGTTTATTGTTAGCTTGTTTGTCTGAGTTAGTAGTGGCAAGCTACTGTATGTAAAATAGAAAGGAAACCCCACACTCCTCCTAGCACTGATGATGTTACCTAGTTGGGCAATGAAATGTCTCCAAGTAAACCACCAAGCTCAGAGAGAACCCCACAATCCTCATCCTCCTTCTCCTCCTCCTCCCTGCAAACCCCACTCCCTTCTAGCACTTGATGGTGTTATCTAGTTGGGTCATGAAATGTCTCCAAGAAAACAGTCATGCTCAGAGAGCACCTCACAGTTGTCGTTCTCCTCCTCCTCCTCCTCCTCCTCCACTCCACTCCACTCCACTAATCCTACTCCCTTGTAGCCCTGATGATGTTACCTAGTTGGGTCATGAAAGGTCTGCAGGAAAACCACCCAGCTCAGAGAGTACCTGTTCTGCGCGAGCTACGGACCCCAAAGAACGCAGTACCCACAAAGTCTGTACAAACCTTAGTTTACTAAATTAAATCAGTCTTTTTCAAACAAAGGCTGTTAATTAACTTTCTTAACAGCCTATAAGAATCCAAAGAATAAATAATAGTAATCTTACTAGGATTGGCAGAAAGCCCAGAAGCAATTTGCAGAGAACTAAGATCAAGACGCGAAGGAGAGGGAACGAAGTTGTTCCCTGCAAATTGCTTTAGTCGGCGTTCCTCCTTAAATAGGCTAAGGGAGTGGCCAATTAGCCCCAAGCCTTACTCTCGAGGAGACCTCCTCCTGAGGAGCCACTCCTGCCTTTTGGCAGCTCTGCGCGCCCGTGCATCGAGAAGAGGCTCCTCCTCTTCGTCCTCTTCACCCATGGAAGCTTCTAGAGGTTCTGAAGACCCTGGCTGAATCCCCCGCCTCTGGCACCACATCTTCTCCAGCCTCCTCATTGTCCGACTCGAGTGCCAGCTGCACAGGCTGCTGGCGCAGCACCACACCAGCCTCCTCGCTGTCGGAATCAGCTACAACCCGCACAGGCCGCTGACGGGCCACAACAGTACCAAGGACTCCACGGTTCAACCCCGAGCTACATAGATTCTCTTGTGTTTGGCTAGGTGTGGTGGGTAACTCCAATTTTTATCGCTCCTTTTTCTAGCCAAGCTGGCTACCTCCGTGGAGGGCTTCGAAATTGGCACGGTGGAGCAGCAGAAGGAGCAGAAAAGTTACTTTGTGCGCCTGGGGTCCTTGTCCAGCAAACTTCGTCACCGGGCCTTCCAGCACTCCCTGGTTAAGTTGAAAAGGGCCAAGCAGGGAACCCAAGACTCCCTGTCCCAGCTGCACCAGACCATTGAACTGGTAAGGAGAAACGGATATGGGATGGAAGCCGTAGTGGCACAATGGGGCCCTGGTGGCACAGTGGTTAGAATGCGATATTGCAGGCTGACTCTGCCCACGGCCAGGAGTTCGATCCTGACTGGCTCAAGATTGACTCTTTTGAGCCTGCCATCCTTCCGGGATTGGTAAAACGAGGAGCCAGATTGTTGGGGAGGCAATAGGTTGACTCTCTAAACGGCTTAAGCGAGGGCTGTAAAGCACCGTGAAGTGGTATATAAGTCTTAAGTGCTATTGCTATTGCTATCATCTATCCATCCACCTACCCATCCTTTCTCTCTCTCTCTCCCTCTCTCTCTTCTCTCTCTCTCTCTCTCCTCTCTCTCCTTCTCTCTCTCTCTGTCTCTCTCTCCTATCTACAATATTTCTTTCTCATTTCTCTCTCTCTCTCTTCTATCTACAATATATCTCTCTCTTTCTCTCTCTCTCTCACTCTCTCTTCTATCTACAATCTCTCTCTCTCTCCTCTCTCTCATTTCTCTCTCTCTACTTCTCTCTCTCCTATCTACAATATTTGTCTCTCATTTCTCTCTCTTCTATCTACAATATATCTCTCTCATACTCTCTCATTTCTCTCTCTCTCTCTCCTATCTACAATCTCTCTCGCACACACTCATTTCTCTCTCTCTCATTTCTCTCTCCCTCCCTCTCCCTTTCTCTCTCCTATCTACAATATCGCTCTCATTTCTCTCTCTCTCTCCCTCTCTCTCCTATCTACAATATTTGTCTCTCATTTCTCTCTCTTTATCTACAATATCTCTCTCTCATACTCTCATTTCTCTCTCTCTCTTCCTATCTACAATCTCTCTCGCACACACTCATTTCTCTCTCTCTCATTTCTCTCTCTCCCTCCCTCTCCCTTTCTCTCTCCTATCTACAATATTGCTCTCATTTCTCTCCCTCTCCCTCTCTCTTCTATCTACAATATCTCTCTCTCATTTCTCTCTTTCCCCTCTCTCTCTTCTATCTACAATCTCTCTCCCCCTCTCTCTCCTTCTATCTACAATCTCTCTCTCTCCCCTCTCTCTCCTACCTACAATATCTCTCTCATTTCTCTCTCCCTCTCTCTCTTCTATCTACAATATATCTCTCCCTCTCTCTCTCTCTCCTATCTACAATCTCTCTCACACACACACATTTCTCTCTCTTTCCCCTCTCTCTTTCTCTCTTCTATCTACAATCTATCTCTCTCTCTCTCTCTCTTCTATCTACAATCTCTCTCTCTCATTTCTCTCTCCCCCTCTCTCCCCCTCTCTTCTATCTACAATCTCTCTCTCCCTCCTATCTACAATATTTCTCATTCTCTCTCTCTCTCTCTCCTCTCTTCTATCTACAATCTCTCTCTCCCTCCTATCTACAATATTTCTCATTTCTCTCTCTCTCTCTTCTATCTACAATATATATATATATATATATATATATATATATATATCATTTCTCTCTCTCTCTCTCCCTCTCTTCTATCTACAATCTCTCTCACACACACACATTTCTCTCTCTTTCCCCCCTCCCTCTCTCTCTTCTATCTACAATCTCTCTCTCTCTCTCTCTCTCTCTCTTCTCTCTCTCTCTCTCTCTTTCTCTTTCCTGCAGGCCAGATCTAAGCACTCCTTAGGCCGGATCTGGCCCCCATTCCTTGAATTTGACACTCCTGGTATAGACTCTTTGGGGTTCCTGTTTGGCTATTTATTCCCCCCCCCCATTTTTTTTCAGAGTTGCTGACTCAGCCCTTTCCTTTCTCTCTTCTCAGATTGAACACGTCAAACAGGGGGTTGATCAGAAGATTCAAAGTGGCCAAGAAAAGCTCCACCAGATGTGGCTTCAGTGGCATCAAAAACAGGCTCCTGAGGAGACTCAGAAGGAGGCCCCCAAGCCACAGGTACAGAATAACAGAGTTGGAAGGGACCTCAGAGGTCTTCTAGTCCAACCCCCTGCTAACTAACCTGACTCTCGCTTGGATCCTGTTACAGGAGATCGAGTCCCAAGCTCTGGAGGTCTCCCGCGGACTCACCCAACAGTTGCAGTCAGCTACAACAACACTGGTCTCCAACCTCCAAGGTCTACCAGCCGGCCTCCAAGAGAAAGTGGGTCTCATCCGCCAGAACGTCGACGAGCTCCGTACCGCCTTCATGACCGCTGGATCTTTCCAAGATCTGCCGGGATCCATTCTAGCTCAGAGTCGGGAAAAAGTCGCCAAGGCCCGTCAGTTGACGGATGAGCTGATGGATCACGTGGTCCAAAATGTCCCTCCTACTTGGCTTGTAGGCCCTTTCTCGCCCTCAGGCAAACCAGAGGGGGAAGAAATAGAAATGAAATAGCATTTCAAAGATGTGAGCAATTCAGAATATTGTTAAGTGTAAGGGGTTTTTTTTTGAGGGGGGAGCAAAGGGAAGAATTAAGCTTGGCTGCAAATAGTTTAAATAAATATAGAATTTTTGGTGCAAAAGATTGCCGGACCATGCAAAGCCCAGAAGTTTTTTTTGACAGTCTGGTTGCTTTGGTTTTTCTAACACAATCCAGTGAAATTTTGGGCTCGATGGCTTATTTCGCCCAATTTAACACGGCTGACTTAGTACTGTAAATTGGCAATTGGAGAGGCATTTTTTTTCCCTCACTAACTCATCTTTAAAAGCAAAATTTTTTACATCGCAGGATTAGGAGAATAGAATCCATTTTAAATGGATAGGGCCAAAATTAAGAAACGGTTATCTGTATTTTTCATCTGCGCCCAAATTATTTTTTTTCAATCGCAGGGAAGATTATTCTTGCAAAGGAAATCTGGGAGACGAAGAATTATTCACGTTTGGTGCAAAATGCAGCAAAACAACGGGGAAGTTTAACCAATTACACCCAACTAGTGCCTTTTTCCTCTCAATTTTTTCTTCCCCCGTGATAATTCTCTGGATTAATTGGTCTTTCTCTCCCCTCCACCTTTTCTGCTGAGGACATGGATTCAGGGTTTTTGCAAAGAGTGACAGAACTGAGAAAGCTGAAATTGCCAGAAATGTAAGCGGGATGAAGAGATGGAGACAAAGATTAGGAAATTATCTGTTTTCTTTTTATTCCCGCATTCCGGTCCTTTTTATTCAGCCTTTCTTCGGTGCCTGTAGATTTGAGGTGAGAGGAAGGAAAATGAGATTAAACATTTTTGCAAAGTTTCTTCTGTATTTGCAAGTGAAGTTATCTAGGGCAGTGTAGCATCCTTTGGCTAAAGTTTTTCCCATCATTTACATCACCAGCCTCTAAAGTTGGCAACTTTTAAGACTTGTGGACTTCAACGCCCAGAATTCCCCAGCCAGCCATGTATGGCTGGCTGGGGAATTCTGGGCGTTGAAGTCCACAAGTTTTAAAAGTTGCCAACTTTGGAGACCCCTGATTTACAGGGTAGACACCTTCATCTTTGAAGGAGGGGAACCAATACAGATGATCAAACTTATTTCATTTTCAGCTCCTTGCTTGTAATGGCTTTCAGAATTTTCCATGCGCTCTTTGTATGTTCTGTAAACCGATTTGCCCTCCATGCTTCCTATTGTCAATTTTATAACCCGTGCCTTAACTCACAAAATAAAACTAATATCACATTGCATTAAAAAGCTGGAAACTTTTTTTTTTTAATGTTTTCCCAAGGGGAGAAGTGGGGGGGGAGGAGAGGTCATCCAACTGTCCCAATTGCTCCCTTTGCTCTAGGACGAGGTGGCCTTTGCTAATTTGGAATCCAAAAGGGGGAACATGAGGACTAGAAGCTTTAAGAGATGGCTGTAGGCTTGGGTGCATGTAGCAGCAGGAAATCAGATCGGTTATGCATTGGGAAAGGACAACAGCTAAGAGAAATATCATATCCCATCCGCAAAAGAAAACGTATAAAAGGTTACACATTAAAAAAATAAATAAAAAAGGGAAGGATGGGGGAAGATCTTTGATTTTTGCATGTCAGTTTTTCTTGGGGAGTGGTACAGTGGCCTAGAGGTGGAGCTCTCGCCTCACAATCAGGAGGCTGTGAGTTCAATCCTAGGTAGTGGCAGATATTTCTCTCTCTGGGCACAATGATAATATATCTCCTGAATATAACTCCGCACTGGTGACAGGAAGGGCATCTGGACAGGAAACCCTCTGCTAGCTCCATTCAGTTGCCCAGATTCTACCCCGCAAGGGATTATGGGGTCATTAAACGAAGATGATGATGTCAGTTTTTCTTGGGAGCAGAACACAGAAATACTTCCATTTCCAACCGTAAGTATGATCCTATAGATCAGTGTTTCTCAACCTTGGTAGCTTGAAGTCCACCCATCTTCAAGCTACCAAGGTTGAGAAACACTGCTATAGGTTATATAGTGTAGAAAGTCACTATAGAATGAAATATAGAAGATTCATTCTATAGAAGAATGAAATATTTGGGGAATATTAAAAGACAAAATATTATATTTCCCTAAAGGAAGAAATGGAGAAACATGCTCTTAAAGACAGAAAGCAAACTCGGTCTTTCTTAATAGCCCCCAAGCAGAAACTGAGGAGGCCAGCTTTTAGGAATGCAGATTTGGCAATCCATTCAAGACAGGATATTTCGAAACTCCTTGCAGCAAAGCTAAGGAAGGCAGAGTGATAGGATTAGAAAGCAGCCCCTCACCCAAGATCCAACACAGGACGAAAGCCATTAGCCACAACAGGAATTGCCCAACACCCTTTCAGAATACAAGCAGGGGTGAAATCCAGCAGGTTCTGACAGGTTCTGGAGAACCGGTAGCAGAAATTTTGAGCAGTTTGGAGAACTGGCAAATACCACCTCTTGCTGGCCCCAGAGTGGGATGGGAATGGAGATTTTGCAATCTCCTTCCCCCCCAGGAGTGGGGAGGGAATGGGGATTTTGCAGTATCCTTCCCCTGGAGTGGGGTGGGAATGGAGATTTTGCAGTATCCTTCCCCTGCCACGCCTGCCACGCCACGCCCACAGAACCGGTAGTAAAAGAATTTGGATTTCACCAATCCAAATTTGGAACAATCCAAACTTCACCTGGGAACTCAGATAAACAATAATATATATTTAGCTAATGTAACTTGGGTTAACAAAAGCAATTGCCATTCATACAATGCACACAACCTGCTCAGTTTTAAACTTGGGAGATGCCCAGAAAGAAACTGAATGTGCAAGGAAGAAAGGACAACAACACCTATCAGCTGTGAGCATCGCACCATTGGGTGTGAGCATGGCATCTTGCACATGCTGTGTGATTCCTTTTTGAAAAATAATTTTTATGAAAAGTTTTTAAAAGAACATAAAAACAAACCAAGTGAAAACAGGGAAGGGAAGGGAAGGAATACAAGAAAAATGAAAGAAGGGAGGAAATACAAGAAAAGGGAAGGGAGGGAGGAGGGAAGGAAGGAAATACAAAAAGAAGGATGGACAAGAAAATGGGAGAAGGGAAGGAAATAGGAAGGAAG